GGCATGGTGCTTTTTAGGTGAGCGCTGGAAGTTGGTAAAGATTGATCAATTCGTGACTCTGATGATATTTCGGATGAATGCGATGATTCCGAGGAGGAATAGAAATTAAATTTTCCCGGGAACATGTAAACTTATAAAAACCAGGAGAGGTATGAAGACATTCGCTGGTAGTGTAAAAAGGAGAGATAAAATATATGTGAAGGGACTTCACATTTGTTGTTCACAATTATGGGTCCAAAAATGAATTTATATTTTATCTAAGGAGGAGAATATTTACAACGCGCGCGCAAGATGTTTTGTTCCAATCGAGCGCGTTTTCCCGTGACACTAGCGCGCTTTTGTTCATAGACGGAGCCGGATAGTTCCGGATCCACATACAAGGCTACAGCCTGTAACAAATATCGCATCCTGCTGGGCGAAGGATCCAGCTAGGCTAAGCATCAGCGCGCGTGCCTCTTGGTTTTCGGCTCTGATTGCGGAGCCAGTTGGCACACGGTAGACATGCTCAATTTTTGTTTGGGGTATTTCGAGCATTTGCGTAATTGCTTCTCTAACACCGAAAGGTGAGAGTGTTCGCCAGGGATGTTCTTTTTCGAGGCGGAGAAACAAACGTTCGTCTTGCACGGCCGGTTTTATTGGCCCGGTTGAATTTTGGGCTATTCGAGTCGAGTTTGCCGCCTTGGGCATTGTCTGCACGACTTTTGTAGGTGCCGGGAGCGTCTGTAGACCATTACGGGTGATCGAGGCCCAAGTGGTTTTGGCCTGGCGCAATTCGGCTTGAGCCGCTTCGCGTTATGGCTCACTTTGCTTACCAGCAGCACATTCTGCGGTCTTGCAACTAGTAGCCTGGCTTTCGGGGCGTGAGGGAAGTGATGGGAGGACTGTACCTGGTCCCGCGATCATGAATTGAGCTATTGCAGCTCTAATGTAGACTTTCATAGAGTCTATAGATTGAACACTCGACCCTTTGGATAGGGGGGAGAGAGCATTCTCGACACCGTTTATTGCAGCGGTGCAGATCTTTACATTTTCTGCTGTTTTAGCAGTCCGGCGTTCTTCGGCTTCGACGAAGGCCCTAAGTTCGGAGGGATATTCTTCTGTCAGCTTGGGGTTGTTTTCGCAGCGAGAAGCGGTACTCTCCTCTGTAATCCCTGGTGTACCCTCAGAGGGATTTTTGGGACATGCGGCGCCTTTTTCCTTACTTGTTTGCGCGATCGCTGCCCGCCTAACAGCAGGGACAGCAATTTTTCTAGTTGTGCTGGCGGGAATGACTGTGACTTGGCTGTCTTCCGAGTCTTCTACGTTCCATCTAGAGCTACTGAGGCCCTCTTGGATATAAATGTCGATTGTTCTATCGGACATTTCGATGTCTGGATTGCTAGAGCTGGTGTTTTCTTCTAAGACATTGATCCTCTCGATAAGCCCTATATCCATTTTTCAATAGTCGATGTTTCTTACTGTCGAATTCTTGTCCATCATACGTTTGATCACTTTCTTGTGCGCTCTTCCGAGGGCGTCGATAACACGATCCTCACGCGATTTTTTGGGTTGCCCCAGTGCCATTCCGAAGATCGGGGGCTTGTAACTGAGATCACAATTTTCTGATGAATGCGACGAGCGCGAAAGGGAGGGAGAGGGGGAAAATAGGAATATTCGAAAATTCGAATTTTAAAAAATTGTGTGTTTTTTGTTTGTGAGTGTGTGTTTATTGTACTACTTGAGTCTATGACTATCTATCACATTGGGCTCCTCTCTGGCCCAGGTCACACCTTTTACAGTGCTCTTTGTCTCTTATGTCACTTGAAAGATCATTGATAAATTGCCTGTGATAAATAGCCATTCAGCTCAGTGTTTACCCGTGGAATTCGGCCACCTTTTCCACGGAACCTTCTACGCAAAAAAAAAATAAAAAATAAAAAAAGGTAGCAATGGAGACTGCGTGCGCGGGAAAAGGCCTCAAAAAACCTGCAGCTCCAGGCAGGCGAGGCCTAGACACCGGGACCACGTGAGGAGCGCATAATCATCTACATCTCCCTTCTTTGTAGTAGTCGAGGTCGACTTGATCCAATCCGCCATCTCCGTATCGGGTGCTGGGTACGCTCCGGAAACTCATCGGATGGCATCTCCTCCATGATCAAGGGTTGGTGATGAGTAGGGCTCCGACCCTACCATCTGATCTGATCGTGGTTAGCTTCATGATAATGGTGATAGGGGAATGTGTTGAGAGATGAAGACGATACAGACGGCGAAAGCGATTTGGGATCCTCGTCGAAGTGAGGACTTTGTTACTCAATATCGGCTCTGCAGACTCTCCAGTGAGAGCTGGAGGTTCGTAGGGGACACCACTGACAGGTGTTGAGAATAGTCCCCCAACTGGTATAGGTATCCTTGGCCTGTAGGTAGAGAGGACCTGTGTCGAACCTTTTGAGCTGGTTCGGAAGCTTTAATGATTGAGACTAGAGGTATCTGGAAGAATAGCTCGCACAGGATCTTTCAATTAAAGTAAATAAAAAGATATAATTGTCTGTCTATCTGTCTTCCTTCTTCTTTCTCTCAGCTTATATATCTACACATATCTACTACCTGACATATGATGATAATATCTAGAAATAGCTTCTTTACATCACAGGACACAATCCAAACATGTTGTAGCCAAGATGTAATCCTAAACCGACTCAATACCAGTCCATCACGTCTGTTACACGGACGCCAAGTATTTTCTAGCTGAAAATTACCCATAACGCTAAGGTTTTCCTGAGGCAATCACAAATTATGTCAGGTACCAGCTTGGCATATTATTCTGACAATAATATTACGATCATGTTAGGAGAATAGAATTTACGTGAATCACGAAACATTTATTCAGGAATACGAATTCCACCGGGCTCTGATACTGGTCGGACATAACCCCCTAGTTTTAGACGCGTGGTTTAAGACTATTGTTCGGATTCAGAGTCGAGTTCACTTTGAAGTTAAAGTTTATATCCTGAAGTCGAAGTAATTGACGAAAATAAAGGAACTTTTGTCAGAATAGTACTACAGTGAATAAATCTGCGAGAATTTGGTCTGAAGGAGTGTATTATGGTCGTTGTTTATTGTCATGGAAATTTTTTTATAAAATAACATCGAGCCCTTTAATCACGAGAAGAGGAAGTGGATGGAAGACAGCTCTAAGGTAGAGGTAGAAGAAGTAGATTGGCTATGAGGATGGAGTGTCTAGGAACAGGCAGAGACTATATGCTGACGTGCACGTACCACATGTACGCACGTCATCTTACCCAGGGCCAGGTTGAGGCGAGGCCGTAACTCCTTTTGACTTTTTTTTTTTTTTTAAATATACAGATTAAATTTCTGAAAATGATCTCGCTAGACATCTGATTTTCCCACAGGTATATCCATATGTGCGGTGAACTGAAAAGTCTGTTGGTAAAGATGGGGCATGTTTCTGGTTTTTCTGAAGCAAGCTAACCAGTTTTTCTGTTGGAGATATCCAGCTCTCCTTAACGCTTTCAACCTGGGCTGGAAATAGTACTGTAGAAGCTAACATCAATTCTGAGTTGCGGTGAGGAAGGCGATTAGAAATAAACACAACAGTTTTCCAAATCTCGGGCCAGGAAAATTCTGGTAAATTCGAAGAAATACGCATCGTGCGCATTTTTGTAGAAAGTACCCCCCCCATAACGCTCAGCAGAGCCATTTTGAGCAGGTTTATAAGGCGATGTAGGCTCGTCTAAGATTCCATGATCGGAGATAAAATTTTAATATTCTTGTCGCAAAGAAACATCATTATCTCGATAAAAATTGCATATTCCAAGTGAAAATTGAGTTTTTACAGATCTCTCAAAATTAATAGAATTTTAAAGTTGTCGAATAGATAAATTTGAAAGTGCGTGGAAAAAAATTGGTTTTGTATAAGTATACTTGACTAAGAACGCTATCCTTTTCCCGTCATAACTTGTTGGTAGGGAAAACAAGTCAATAAAAATTCTTTTAAAAGGCCTCGTAGCTCTTGATAGAGGTGGAGTACGACTTACTACCCTTTTAGCTTTCACAAGCTTGCAAGGCTCACAGTTCTCTAGTTCTTTTTTAATTTCAAATGGTAATAAAGAATGATTTTTTAGAACTTTTCGAGTATTTGACTAGAAGGACGTCAAAGTCGTACATGCTAGATTGGAACATCTGTTGGTGTTACAGATTTTATATCTGAACCATTTGTGGAAAATGATTCAATAATAACTGATTCAACTTTGTTATACTCAATAACATATAGGTTGAACAGTTTTTCAGTAAACCAAATTGTTTTTTCTGAATTAAAAATGCATCCTGCCTGGGGGTTCCACGAAATTCCTGCAGATTGTAACCTGGTGAGTGATGCAAGAGACGTATGGAAAGATGGTATATACGCCACATTGTTCAGTTGGAAAAGTCCTGTTGAAATCTTCATAAAAACTGTTCCATATCCGAGGATTTCAGATTGCCCACTCCCTGCTATAGCTGTAGATGGCTTAGAATAGTAATTTGAGAATCGAGAAAATTCATTGCAGATATGCCCGTCAGAGCCTGAATCAAGAATAAACGAAATTTTTAAAGGATAATTGGAGCAATTAAGAGATGGTTGAGAGAAAGCAGAAGCTGTTGATACTGCGGCTACTGCTTGCATATTGGGTAAATTTTGATCTGAGCTTTGATGTGACTCAGAATTTCGTTTCTGTCGATAATTGTTTGCCTTTTTAGTGCTGTATCGACTTTAGCGTTATTTGTAGGGACTTTGAGAAAATCATCAACTTTTTGTTGTCTTTCTAATGAAGGCTTAAAATTATTTGGTCTTAATGCTTTATTAATGTAATAACACTATGGAAAGTAATGTTTCCACCCACACGGACACGCAGGCTTTTTCGAAGAAGGAACAGAAGTACTTGGTTCATTTGATGAGCTAGAGGATTCAGGCTGAGTGTTTAATGTCGAATTTTGACCTTTATACACAACAAAGGATGCCTGATTTAGTGAGGTATTTGCAGCTTTGGTGGCCTGTGTACGCTCAAATATCTCTGATATTTCGATACCATCCGGGAATCTTTCTTCCCAACCTTGTATATTACTTCTAGCTTCATCTTCTAACTTATTAGTCCAATAATCTGAAAATGAATTGTCAATATGACAAATTACCTCAAGAAATGATTGGGTCGGTCGAAGACCCTGTGCTTCTGGAAGGCCAATCTTTTTAGCATCAGTGAAAACTTTCTGCCAATTCATGATCCATGCAGAAATATCCGTTGTATCAGGGGAATTAAGAATAGATTGGTACTTGCTTAAAATCTCCTTCTGTTGTACCCACCCTGAGCGTTGGAGTCGACGTTTCAAAAGTATCAACTACCTTGCGACATCTTGTTCTTCTGAAATAGTCGAGTAGTAATTACCAACCGTTTTTATTATGAACTCTTGGATAAATACAATCGACCTTTGTTGATCCTTGTAGGCCTGAAGGTCCGTACAGTAGCGATTGTAAAAGAACTCACATATCCTTGGTTCATCAATGGCAAGATCTGTAATTAATCTTGCAGTTGGTTTAACTACTGTTATCAAGGGTTCCTCCGGATATTTAAGACATGGCACTCGTGATGTGCTAGAAGGGTCAATTTGAGACCAAATACTTTGGGTTGGAGCAAATTTCTGAATTGTTGATATCCATTGATCCCAGTTAGTCGGAACTTTCAGCATAATTTTAGAAGAGCCACTTAATTCAGCCATTTTTTTAAGGATCGGAACTGTAAATTTAATAGTGAGAATAGTTGGTGTCAGAAAAAAACCGTAATAATTGACTCGAAAAAAATATGAATAAAAATATAAAAATAATAAGTAGGACTGTCGCAACAGGACAATTAACTTAACAAGATTGATAGACTGATATCATTTTTCTATGCGCAGAAGAGCTTAACTGGGCTCATAACTGTCGAACCTTTTGAGCTGGTTCGGAAGCTGTAATGATTGAGACTAGAGGTATCTGGAAGAATAGCTCGCACAGGAGCTTTCAATTGAAGTAAATAAAAAGATGTATTTGTCTGTCTTCTGTGCGAGCTTTTCTTCCAGATACCTCTAGTCTCAATCATTCCAGCTTCCGAACCAGCTCAAAAGGTTCGACAACCTGAATATCCTATATAGTCATAAACTCAGAATGGACAATAAATTGAGTTCAAAAGTGAGTGTTTTGGATAATAAGCTACGCTCGCATAATAGGAAACGGAAAGTGAAGTTACGCGGCCAAAGCGGCCCTGCTCTTAGCTCTACGTCCACCCACACCATGAACTATGACCTCTGCAAGAAACTGGCCAAAATCGGTAACAAGCTCCTTTTCCGAGTAATTCTGAACATTCGAAGCCCCAACCTCACATCGGGCACTATAAATTGAAACCATCAAACGATGCCCGCGCGAAATTTTCGCACCTCATATTCTTGCGGCACATCTTTATGCTGCTCGTCCCGGGCATGGTGACTTTACTACATACCACTAACGCTTCAAGCACATCGATGCACACAAAATAGGCAGTTGTGGGGCTCCCAAACCACCAGATCATCTCCCAAGCTGCCACATTCCCTCAGCAAGACTACCTAGAGCCCCAAGGATCTACAGCGATAACGGTAAGTATCTATTTGGTAGCCAAGATGGAGCGAAAAAAATTGACCCAATGATTGCGGGATACAAAATTCTTTTCAAGAACCTGCTCCCGACACTGATTAGAATCTCACCATAATGATGCTCATGTCACCGGATCTATTGTTGTTGGTATGCAGAGGAGCAAGTCCAGAATAGAATCACTTAATTAAGTAAATCTAAAAATTGATGGTGCCCTACATCTTGCTATTTACATAAGGGACTTTAATTAACGACGCCGATCATAACAGCCTCCGTTGCCAAGCAACTTTATCTAATCTACACCCTTGGTATCCTCTACAGCTGACTTGACCCTGTATTCCATCTCTACCATACTGGCGCAGACAGTACACACACAAGGGAGTATTTCCGTAACAGCTGACTAGGAATTTGCACTGAAGGATTTTATAATTCGGCTCTTACACCCAATTCAAATATATAGATAGTTATTTTTCACAGTATTTTCATGCCCATGAAACACTACCGCAAATGTTTTTAAAGCTATGAAGCAGGATAATTTTCCCATAACCCCTTGCACATTAAATCTAAAGGCATTGGCTATTCAGATTTAGACCTTTGAAGGCCTTAGGCACCCAAGACAGTAAGCTTTGGCGTCCTATGTCCTACATAGCCATAAACTCAGACAGAATAATAAAATGAATTAATAGGGCTAAATATGGATAAGAATGACAACGACGTTTTAATATATAAATTACAGCATATAATTATTTTGATGCTTATTTATTCAAGTGTAATTAGGGGCACGTTACATTTCAGCAGCCAGGCTCTTTACATAAAGAAGGACCACACAATAAAAAAGTAACTTTCCATTATACTCTGTCCTCGAAAGTGGTTGGGCTCTAACCCAAAACATACAGGAATCCGAATCAAAGGGGGTTTTAGCGAGATTTTGAGAGAATTTCTGATAATTATAGCTTCATAAGGAACATAGCACATGAGCAGGGCATGACCTATTTCGGATCTGAAACTGTTTCGTTCGTCATTATTACCATGCTTGATAGAGACGAGTCTATTGTGACTCAGAAAGAGACTCTACCTGCTGATCTCAACTTGACTTGAACCTAAAGACTCATTGTGACGTACATTTTTGCTTACAATTAGCACCATATGTAACATTATCACTGAGTGACTCGTTGCTTTTTAAAATCCTGATGTATCTCCAGTATTCCAGAGTGAAATTGTAGGAGTGATGTTCCTGCTCGGTAGCTTGACAGTATAGATAAAAATATATACGAAGTCAAAATATTTGCAATGCTCTGGAGGAAGAATTTCAGTAGAGCTATAACTTGGATGATACCACTAGAATCTTGCGTAGATTCGCAGCTAGTTCTGGGCTCATGCCCTTGACTGCTGGTCTCCCAGTGTCGCGATCCACAAAGACATGGGTAATAGTGCCGACCGACTTGACTTGGGGGCAGTTTTTTTCAAACAGCGCGACTTCGTAGGTAACACTGCTCTTGCCTATCTTATTGACACGAAGAGCGACCTCAGCCACAGCGGGAAATGCGATAGCTCCAAAAAAGTCTACTTCGCTGTGTACTACCAGGCCATATTGCGGAGACGTGGGCGGATGCAGCTGACATTCCTCAACGAGATAGATGTTAACTATAGCGTCGTAAAGAGCGTTATAAATGCTATTGTTCACTGCGGGCCTTGTAAGCTAATGCTATGGTTGGAACATCACAGATACTGGCCTGCAATTCTACTTACTATGATTATACATGTCATTATCAGACCTACGCCCGCCAATTTGGTCAGCTTTGGAACCGCAATAATGGCAGCCGCTAGCGGTGCCCTCCAACCAATACCTACCATCGTGTTTGAAAGTCCCGCCAGAAATGATAATCAGTCCTCGAACGACGCTTGAGTTCTTGCTGCGTTGCCATCGATGGTATTCATGCGTTGGTCGCCGGTTGGACCCGATCATCTAGGCCATCCAAGACGTAATTGCCAAGTGAGGGATCTCTTAGCTGGATTATGTCATCATAAGAGTCGCAATGACAAAGCGATATTAGCCTGTGTGATTATCGCCCGACGTGATGGGTTGGATGGTGCAGTGGTACACCATCCAGGCCGTTCTCCCAAATAGTTTCTGGATAGCGTGAACACCTACCCCACACGAGACAGGAGAAAGCTGGTTCGAATCCAGTCAGACCCATACATCACTCTCTCTCGCGGTGACATCGTTCTTGTGGGATGATGAAAGCACACTCGGATGGCCACAGGGTTTTCACGCTTTTCCCTGTGGTGGTTGTGCACGGTAGAGGTTGTACGCCGTAAAGGTTAACCTCGAGTGGTATCTGCAGATGACATCTGAGTGTGAATGTTCTAAATGTCAAATTGTGTCATCCTATGTAATGTACATATCTTCCGATAAAGACCTACATGGGCCTTAAGGCGCCAAAATCTGGATATTAGACTATTTATACATATCGCCCGACGTGATTGCGATGAGTTATTAACTTCATGTTGCAGTAAGTACTCAATGGCAACACATAAAGTAGGATGGCAAGACTGAACACTTGTGCGCGGTATCCTCTACGAACCATGGGGTGAAATGTTTTCCCAGAGCCAAATTCAGTCAAATTTTGCAAAATCAAAGAAGTTGGCCCACGAGGCAATGATTCAAATTACTCCTCCACGTCGTTTTTTCGCTCCCGACGAGTTAGACTCCTACCTGAGTCTCATCAAGTCTACAGTCTCCTATGGATGGCAAAGATAAAATTGTCAAAATGACTGGGGTTAGATCCCTGTACATATTGCCTTAAATGGTATGGTATTCAAGCAGACCCATGTCTAGTTTATCGACTAGTGATGCAAGCAAGGGGTACTATCCAACGACATTCCGTGAAAGTCTAAATTATGGGGACGGTTTTCAGTACCATGGGAAAAGTTCAATGGTCCTCATTTGAGATTCAAAATTAAAAAAATCAATTGATATTCTCTAAAATGCACATCTATTTCAAAAATAATTGCTCTGTATTGCAAAAGAATACATCGAAGCCATCAGTATGACTTGCAACTAAATTGAAAGCGTTCTACATGTTTTGTATTAGTCTGCTCCGTCCCAATACTTTGTGAACCCTCCATTTTTCTTTATCACTGCTACACATCTTTCGTGCATGTTAACCACATTTAACGGAGGCTTCTTCCGAGCAATGCATCTGCTGTAACCTTTTTTTTTAGTGCATTAGAAATTAAACATTCACTGCATCCCCAGTAGCTGAAGAGCCCCATTGCTAGTTCCATTTGGCATATCTGTGGATTTTCAGTAGATTCCCCGACGAAAGCCTCGAGCTCATCAACTTGTTACGCGCTTAATTTAGGTGAGCTTCCACTGCGAGTTATAGGATTCTCAGTCTCTCGAGCACACGCAAGTTGCACTTGCCTTATAGTGATGTCAAGTTCGTCGGATGTATGTTATAATGTCAAGCCAAGTCTTCTTAATGCTCTTATTTCCATACATTGATCGCGAGTTAGATGCTTGCGAACTTTAGTTTCTGAAGCAAACTTTTGGAGTGACATTGTTTGCTAGAAGTAGGATGAATTGATAGTGATGTTAAGAACCAGAGGCTTTGTTGGTTAGGCAGTCAGGAGTATCGTTGAAAATGTGTTTTTTCTAAGCGATTGTTAGAAGAAGACGATTGGACCATACTTCATGGCGAGCGGGGTAAGGAGGAGAGACAGTCTAACCTGTTCCGAGCTAGCCGAGCTGCACCTACAGGGCTAATCCCTTAAACAGCTTAGTTTGAAGTTTTACCTTTTGTAACCTAGAGGCACTTTACAAGTACGACCGAGTACATCCTCATCCCAATGACCACAATTCTCATCGACTATCTCTGGCCTAAGTTGACCACTATATACACGCCCACGCCGATATATACACCCGACAGAGGAAACAAAGAGTGGCACACAAATCTGGGAGACAGTTCTTTGGGATGGGCGTGAGAGTGATCAGGACAAGTTGATAAGATGATGCAGAGGATGGATACGGTCTCGACGGGCGTGAGATTCCGAATTTTGGCAAGGAGTTTTACGAATTGAGCTTTGTGCGCGCCAAGACTTCGCTTGCGAGAGTGCAGTTGACACTATAAAAACAAGCCGACGATGGAAGGTGTTGGGGTCCGCCTCCTGGTGGTGTTCTCCGGTATAGTTTGAGTAGCCTGGGCACCTACTCCACTTGGGAAGGACATATATCAGATTACATTTCGCGCGGAGGAAAGTTGAAAGATGATGGAGGCATGTCTGGATAACTCAGGGTTTTTGAGACGTTCCCCTGGGTGGGTATTCACGGAAGAGGGTTGACTTGCGGTGAAGAAAAAGCCACTATAACTTTGCAGTGGTACTTGCAAATGAAATCTGAGGCATGAGTGCTCTTCCCTTACGTTGAATCATCTATTCCGTAATTTTCTTTGATATTATTTTTGTTTTCTATTTTAAAGTCCTAGGATATACCCGTTTTCCCCTGAGGGTCAAAGATCGGGGTTTAAAGATAAGATCATATCTATGACATACCCAACTTGTTCCCACCACGTGAACCGCTTCTCAAATTGTAGCCAGTTAAATTACATGCAGCCATATACAAAATAGAAAGCCCCCGACACAGAGCAGAATCTCACCATGTTTATGCTGACTAGAAATTTGCACATAAGGATGTTACTGTGACGGAAACCGAGTTAGTGATGAATAAATCGATTTCATAAAATATATGAGAAGAAAAGCTAAATCTAGCTACTACTAACAGGTATTTATAGGAGTTAATCCTCCTCGTGAATCTACAGACTAGTGACTTGTCCTTAGGCACGATACTTCTTACCCAGCCACGTATTTCCAGGTGTCACTAAGTTGTAATAACGCCTCAGCCTCCTGAGTAGTAGTCCCGTTTCGTTCAGCTTCATCTCCCCCTCATACAGCCTCATAGTAAAAATTCTTAGTAACAGGCTTAGGTATCCACCTAAGCTCAAACAACGGTCAAACCGTAACAGTTACACTCTGGCCCTTTAAACCAACTCAAATATATAGATAGTAAGCTGTCCCAGCATTTTCATGCCCAAGAAACTTTATCGCAAATTCATTTTATGTTATGGAGTAGGATAACCCTTCTATAACCCTTTGCCCAGAAAAACTAAAGGCTTTGGCAATTCAGGTTTGGACAGTCAAAGGCCTCAGGTATCCAGGGCAGTAAGCTTTGGCGTCTTATGTCCTACTTGGGATTTATATTAGATAGACGTAAAATAATAAACCAAACCAAACTAAACCAAACTACAAAATAGAAATCACAACTTAACTTCAGGCTCCAAAACTTTGAGCTTCAACTAAATATCAGCACTTGTGGTTGGGAAGCAAAACTTCTCGCCTCGTTCCCCTTCCGATGGAATCATGTTACATGACTAATTTATATGGACCTCGCTGAGAGCAGAGGTCCAGCCTGGGGCTGATCACCCGTGACATCGGGTTTTCTGTGCAAATTTTTGAACGCTTCAGGGCACTTGGGTCCGAGAAGTTCATGTATGAAGTCGTTGTGGCACTTTAGACCTCGTATTCGACGTGTTTCGTGAGAATATAGTCGACAGTGTGTAAAGTTGGTCGGACTAGTCTCTTTCCCACACGCGCACTCACTAGGTGCGTCTGCATTGTTGAATCGGCGATGATAGGCCGCAAAATTGCCGTGTCTCTTACGGGCTGCAATTAGTTCGCGGAGTAGATGCCTTGATAGAGCCAGCTCTGGCGGCTTGCGCCGTTTTATGAGCAGATCTAGCTTTCGATACCGAACAGGACACGCTTTATCCCACCAATCGCTGAGCAAAGCCTGTAGCCGGTTGTTCATGAGACGGCGAAGGTATGCTAACGAAATAGATACTGGTTGGTTGTCCGGACTGGGCAGCATTCGTAAGCCGAGGCGCGCAGTAGCGTCTGCTTCTTCGTTCCCTTGTATTCTAGAGTGACCGGGAATCCGCTTAATCGTCACAGCAGCTGACACTGAGAGTATGCAAAACTGACGTATCTCTTCGAGGCTGATTGGAGAGATGACCGTCTCAAATGCTTTTACAGCATGCTGACTGTCCAGCAACACATTCACTATCCGTATCGTCTCCCCCAGCTGCTGCTGCGCTTCTTTCATTCTCATCGCCGCCTCAAAAGCCTTTAGCGCCCCTGTGATTTTTGCGTCCAAGACCTCTCCTTCATATCGGATACCATTCTCCTAGTGAAGAGTTTTACCGAGTCTCTTCAAAACAAAACCCCAAGCTGAACGTTCGTTTCCCTCCGAAGAGCCGTCTGAATAGGCGCAAATTTCCGATGCGGGCACGTTGTCTATCCAAAGTTTGCTCGCTTCTCTTCCTTCTGACTTAGTCATGGATCTAGCAGAGTAGGATGGGGACGGCAAAGGCGTCCGGAAATTGTCGATAAGCTCGCTGTGCACGAGTTCTTTGTCTATCTACATAATCAAATCCTCGTGGATTCTTCTTGTACTTTCGAGTCCCAACGTTTGGGCACATCGCAGGACGAGATCTCAGCGGGTGACGATCATCGAGGGTTTTCATTCTGGCTGAAAATCGTAGTCGGTTTCCCTCCAGAATAATGTATGTTGTAATTTATGCGACAGTGGAGTTAAGAGTATACTGCACACCAGCTATATATTCAGCTGCGTGTGGATACTTGCTCTCGAAATCAGATTCCTTATAATATAAATATATATATATATATATATATATATATATAATTTATTGTGTGTATTATTACTACAACTATTGATGCTTATTTTCTTTTTGTTAAAATTATCTACACACTTCACAATTACGGAAAGTGTGGAATACTAAGCAAGACACGTGATACAATTACAGATTTATCGCATGACTTTCAACAATGTTTGCGGGAGAAATTCCTC